GAGGTCTCGATCTTAAGAGCTATTTTTAGCAGTGTTGAAGCCATGGCCTCTCTAAACAGCCCACTTGAAGCAGCTTCCAAACTCGAAAATCGGACTCGATTCGGAATCGAGGCCTCGAGTCTTTTTGCCGTCGATCTTGCCCTGGCCTATCTAATAGCAATGATAGTACAAGACGCTAATAGCCTATCTTTGGATTTTCCCGATTTTCTACTTTTTGGCGACAAACATGATGGGCTCGATTTGCCAGTTTAGCAGATCCTGCCAAAGGTTACTTCTTGGTTTTTTTTCTCATCACATACAAAATGCAAATCCTTAGTATGGGAGGTTCCCTCTTGGCTAGGCCTAATGATCGATAACAGTTGAACTGTGCCTCACACAAAGCACAAAATATTCTTCCACGGAAAAGCTAGATAGTTTAGCTGTTTTTATTTATCCACACCAATCCGGCTTGAAGCCTGAAAACGATCTGGCATATTTATGTCAGTTGTTAGAAGTCAGAAGTTAAAAGAGTTTGATGGAGCCGGAGGGAGAGATCTAGAATCTAGACAGTTCCTCAGTCCTGAGGCCAGAACTTATTTTGAAGAGAGATCATAGATTCTAGACCTAGGCCTAAATCTAGCTAGATCTAGATCAAGATCTAGCCTAGCCTATTGGTGAGTAGTAGTAGTAGTCTAAGTAGTAGTAGTATGAAGTACGGCTGTGGTCAGGCTAGTCACCTACAGCCGTTCGTTGCTTTCGTTGCTTTCGTTGCTTTCGTTCTTGCACGTTGTTTTCAGACTCTGGTATCTGTAGGTTCATGGGACATGGGACATGGATCTGGCAGTTTGAAACCAATCTAGGTTCATAGAGAATTTATGTTCCTTCCAGACCATGTCAATCCTCTTCGTTCAAGAATAGCATTCAAGGCTCAAGGATGGTGCAGACACCACATTTTCCGGTAGGGAATTCCAAGCGTTAACTGTGCATACGCTGAAGAAGTTTTGGCGAACTGCTGTTTTCACATGGGTTTTTTTCAATTTTAGACTGCGTCCCCTGGTGTTAGAGTGAAACTCACGGGGTAAAATATCTCCCGTTACGTTGTAAATTCCTGTTAAATACTTTGTAACATTCAATCATGTCGCCTCTAGCTCTCCGATAGTACAGCGATGGCAGATCCAATTTTCTGAGACGATCGCAGTAAGCAAGGTGCTGTAGTTCAGGAATTAGTTTGGTGG